GCACTGCCTTTATGTAAAAAGAGCCAATTTTCGTAAAACACTTCATCTATCAAATCTTACAGTGGCACTATTTAGAGGGTAGGGAATACCTTTTGCATTATGCGTGATTGGTCTTATTTTTCAAGCGTGATGCATTATTGGAGCCCAACATTCTGCGTGAAACGTGATTCAGGAACTTCTTTGTTCCACGTTATTGGTATAAATTCATCAACGTGATTCGCGATTTACCCTTCCAAATCTACGTGATTCGTGAAAACGTTTAATTAACGTTACAGGAATTTTGGTTCGAGAATGTCCCGAACTTTGCATCATGATTGTAAGGTGATCACTCACTGAATATAAATTCAACAAACTCTTCGAACAAAGAAGGTAAAGCAGTGGAAATGTGAGTAGTTCGCTAGTTTCCGGTTCAAGTCGTATATCATCGCCTTAGTCTCGAACGCGGGAATCCTGACCAATGAGAATGGCTGAATATCTCTAAGTAGACGATTCCTGTTATTCAACACACAAAATAAATCATTCTGGTAATGTTATAAATTCTTTGCATTCCTGCAAGTACGGCAAATTTCTATCTTGATGAATGGTGATAGCTTTCAATTACTCGTGATTGGTGATTGACCTGAATATATCTTCATGATTGGTGATTGACCTGTTTTAATTCTTCATGATTGGTAATTAAGGGGGATGGGGTATTCTCTACCCTCTATTTAGTATGCAATCATGACGCTCAGCTGTTCAGATGTCACCTGGCTGAATCAATTTAACACACATTTTCTGAAACATTTGGAGACTTTGTCCACCACTGCCACTTTACGGGTCACTGAAAATCCATGAAGCACAATACATACGCGCACACACAAATACACACACCCACACAAGCTTGCCTTCTTACATTAAAAATGCATCAACAAAATTTAATTCATAGACTTGTACATTAACATTGCCACCTAAAACAACAAATGGTATGTGCTATCTTTTTAAAAAGACAAAAGTGATGACTTAAATCAGGTTTGACTAGGTATGTGTAAAGTAAATAAAGTGTTGGACCTCATTCCCATAGACACACCATCGGTCTAGCTACATTGACCCAACTATGCAGGAGCTCTCGCTTAGTGCAATCAGCTTAACTGAATAAGATGCCTCAATCCTCTTCCCTATGTACTATAATCACTAGCATTTCTGCATTCTACTTAATGCCAGGAGGAGGCATGTTAATCTGTTAAGCTGATTGCACTCAGCAAGAATCCCCAAGGAGTTGGGTCAATCCACGTAAACCAATGTGTCTATGGTAATGGGGCCTTAGTGGTGTCTACTGCATGTCTTATTCTAAAATAGAAAATAAATTTTATACATGCAAAAAAAAGCCTATGGCCTAAATTTTTGGTCCGCCCCTGTACTTAATGCTTTTTTACAAGAAGGCACAACACTGTGCATTAGAGAACAAAACTACATAACCATTTCCATTTACATCCAATACAACTGCAGGATGTGTAGCCGTTTTAAAATTAGCTTAGCTTAGTCAGTACATTAAGAAGTACATATTAAGAAGCAGTTACATCTTCTAATATTAAAACTGCTTTATGACAACACGGGATCTTTTTTTTATTTACTCATCTTTTCTTCAGCTACCTGACCTGTATGTAAAATAAGATGACTCATAACCTCACTTTACTGTGGATCACTAGGACCTCCTAAGTCATTTAAAACCTTCTGAAGCTTTTCAAGAACCTTTAGAAAATGACCCAGCTAAAGTTTATGGAGAGTCTTTCACCTTTGTGAATACAAAGACACTTTTTTTTCTTAAGGGTGTTAAGAACAAACTTAATGGTCAATAAAATGATCTAAATGTACATAAAACGTTAATGTCATGATTGAATGTAGTATAACACATAATTATCTCATACTTAAAGCAATCATAAAGGAAAAAAACTTTTTCAGGAGAAAGATCTTGCTTTTGTGGTTCTTTTGTCAATTTCTGCATCTTGAACTTAGTTTGGTACCATAAAAATGCAGTGAGCCCAATAAACTTGTCTATTAAACATCTTCAGTCAATCAAACAGAGATCTTAAATGATGTTACATGTATCACATAGTAGGTTTGCAGTGGTGAGATTAGAAGTGTGAGCCACGCCATTTTAAAGCATTTACTGGCATTCAGAGCTTAAAGTGAATTCAGTCAGGCAAAAGAAGTGGGCAATCAACATCTTGCCATCAATCCTCTAGCTCAATACATTTCTCGGTATTTGTGGGAATTGCCAACTTCTTCATTTCACTTCAGGAAAAGCCTAAGGAACCTACAAACACAAAGCAAATCAATAATTTGGATTACTTTACATTACAATAATTGGTATTAACTACAAAAATATGTGTTCTACAGCTGTTTGAACAAGCAGCAGTGGAAAGTCACAGAATGTCAGCACATTTGATCCTTGCAAATGAGCAGTCAATGTTTCTGCAGGATGATCATTTCCACCAAGGGGAGATAATCTGAACTCTGGTTACACTTGCAGATAGCACTGCCCCCTATTGGCAGACTTCTGCCACCTGATAACACTATATTCAAGTGAAGAACAGCATTCAGCAACATTTGTACACCACTTTTATTCTTTTGTTTCACACTCTTTACTGACATATTTGTCGGCTGAAATAGTTAACAATTTTTTTAAAAAGAAATATAATTAAATCCATACTTACACAGTACATGTAACATCATTATAATAAAATCAAAACCAATTTCTACAGGTCGGTTGTCAACTACAGTCTAGTGGAATTTGAGAAATAAACTGATTGCCCCAAAAAGATCGAAAAGTCTGAAAGCTAAAATGTGTTGACTGCCATCATTTTTCTTTTTGATTCAGTTACATTTACCTCAAAGTCAGATATATAAGCCAAATGTATTGAAAAAAAACTTGGAAAGCCAATGTGTGTTAATTGTCTGACATCATTTATTTTTCTTTTTTTGCCATAGTTCTGGGAATCTAAGAAAAACATCAGCCTCCTGGGAATCATTTTCTGCCTCACACCACAACAACACAGTATACACCATCAAGTCTTCATCAATCAAAATTCTAACTTTGGTCTCTTAATTAAGCAGACTTGCAACTCTCAGAACGCCTATTTCAGACTATGAATATTATCATGCCCACAGCAATTTCCCTCCCAATTTTATGGTTCTTAAGATCTAAACTATCCCCTTGACTAAAATAGTCTAATTGGGATAGTAGGCAAAAGCACTGGCATCCGATGATCTTAAACTGAGAAATCTCTGCTTTTACATCATCCAACAAGTATTATATGAAAACACAAACTTTACCTTTTTTCTACACAACTAATTTCCCAAGAGAGAAACTGGTTTTTCAATGGAACAAAGAAAAAAACACTTTCAACAGGTATATGTTGTAAAAAAAAAAACACACACACACACACAAGGGTCAGAGAGAATCTAATTTGTCGAAAGTTATTTATATTTCTACATTAGCCTTTACACAAGTTTGAAAACTCATTTTCAATTATAAATACAACAGGAAACTTGGTTATCCATCATAATCACCTTAAAGCTATTCTTTCAGTATCAGGATAATATAAATATAAGTCAAATATGAATTGTTTTAGTAAGCAGAAATGCAGCAAATCACAATCACAATCTAGCAAATCACAACCACAAACTGAAAGGATAAACTTAATTTCAGACTATAACCCCCTTAATTTAAAAACTCAATACAACATTTTCTTCAGCAAAACAGTTATAATAATACAATGTACAGCAAGGTGACATTTTCTTCAACCAAATGGGCCTGACCAAACCAACCACATCTAAACTTTTCTCACTAGTGCCTAACCAATCAAAATAATCAAGAGGTAGACAAGACAGGACTTGACAATCAAAAATGACAAATCAAACAAACAAAAAAATGTCCTTGTTGACCATTTCACCATCTTTCAAACACTGAGAAAGTAAAATATTATATCACCTTTCATCCCCCCTTTACCATGTGATTATTGATCCTTCCACATGGTTCTAACATCATATAACAAAGGCTGACTGAATATCAACTTACTTTTCCCTATCTGTTTAACCATATCTTTAGTGGCCTTCAAAAACATCACTTTCCAACTTCCATACAAATAACACCATTACAATGTTATATTACATTCCCCAGCCCTTTTATTAAATGCTGCAGTAGCAATGATAAAGCATACCATATATTCCATGAGACAAGATAAACCAGATTAGTCTCCAGTTTCCTAAGGGTGTAATTACAAAGATATTCAGTTTAAAACAATTTCCATCACCATTTCATTTGGTTTGGATTGATTATAGTTTAACCTAATGAGAGACTGAATACATCAGATATCATTAAATTATCAATAATAAAGATGATCTGTGGTTGAATTCTATTAATCCAGTAAGAGTTGAGCAGGTGGTCAATGGGCCTCTTATGATCTATATGCTTCTGCTGTACCATGAATCCAGACCTCATTTATGGTTGAAATAAATATCATAATGCATAGAATATCACTTTAAGAGGGCATTATTGTCTTCTTATTATATTTCATTTAATATAATACAGTTTTATACAACATTTCTTTTTATGATAAATTAAGTATGAGGTAAAACATCAATAAGACGTACATAAGATGCAAACAAAATATTCAATTCTGATGAAAATTAGACTTAGAGGGTCAACAAAAGTAAATGTACCCAACAAAAATATTTTTTTTGCAATAAGTTTTGATATGATAGGTTTCTGCTTCCATATGCATGTTACCATGCAATAAAGTGCTGATATATATAATACTAAAAATATACATATGCATCAATGATATATAGTGCACAACTTCTTTAAAAAATTGTACACCCTACTTTCAAGCTGGTCACTAAAATTAATCTGTGACATGCATGTTCATTATCAAAATGCGTGAGTTTACTTCATAATGCAGAAAAGTGGTCAATAAGCTATACTTCTTGATATCAATGTCTAATGTCTATCTTTTCTTCAGGTAATATGGAAAAAGGAAGGCATATTACAGCCACTCACTGTGGGCACCTTCGTGTTCACTGATGATGAGCGTTTGTCCACAGCCTGTGAACTCAAGGGCCAGGACACCACATGTTCCCTCAAGATTAACAGGGTATCTGTGGATGATGCCGGCATCTACTTCTGTGAAGTTTCAACAAATTTGGACGTTCATCTGAAATATCAAATACAACTTAATGTAAAAGGTATGAAAGTTGCTGTAAATATAAAGCAACAACTGGAAAAGGAATGATTTACACTGAGAAAAATCCTTTTTGAGCTCAACCTTAATTTGTTTTCCATTATATTAAGATTTCCAACACATTGATCCATTAGTAGTAAATATTCATGTAAAGAGGGTCAATCTTTTCCTGATAATTTCCCCAAATTCAATGACAGGTATAACACTCACAAGCATTTGCATTAAACATCAGGTATATATTTGTTATGTTGACTAAAGTAATCTCACCATGTATATCCTATATTTATTAGTTAACCATTATAGGTACTATTTTTATGTTAAGGTTTGTTCCTGTGACTGCCTTTTATTAAGTTTCAACTTTATGACATGCGCAGCATGCATGCTATTAACTTCCAAATCCATTCAGTTTGACTCCATTCTTGATTGCATTTTTGCTAGGTTTTACTAAATATGGGCAAAACTAACAAGTGGCCAGTTTTGTCACATTGCTCATTTTGCTTTTTTTAAATTGTTAACCCATTAAAGAGTTTGATTAACAGGAGCAGATGCTGGCCAATTAATTGCTTGCCGACTTTTTTCTCTGTAACATATATTCCTTTGTGATTGATATATGCCTTATGAATCAGTTGTGTATGAATATAAAACCTTTTGTATTCTTACTTTGCTGAATTTGTTTGCATAATATGCAGTAGTTTGTATGAGTATTTTTCATCATAATATAAGTGCATTTTATTGGTTACTAGATATGACATATAACATGCATGAATTATGCCAAATTCATAATATTTGAATATCAAGGCTTTGAAATGTAATAAGCTTCAAGTTCTTGTTGCAATGTTGTCTTGTTTTCATGTGCAGTAATGAACTTAAATTAGGCTAGGATAGGCCTGACATGTCACTTTTATCTCTAACTATCGCATGAGATGTTGTTGCATAATTAAGCTAATTACTAACAAACAGTCATGTTACTCTCTAGCTGTTCTCCTAGATACGCAATCTCTCAATATTTTCTAACAACAAGGATACACTGCTCTTGCAGACATCATCTGGGCTCCTGTGTCATTTATAATTAGCAGATACAATGCAATTTGAACAATAAAACTATAACGGGGATGCTACATAACTGTAAGTGTAACAATCCCAAAAACATTTTTTGCAAACACAGGGTTCATGGGTAAATATTGCATTACTCCAAGGTAAACTCCATCATAACAGGGTTGAGCTCAGATGAAGTCAGCTGGATCTCTTAAGGTGAATCCTTCTTCATAAGGACATCAGAACTTGTTCACTCTCATAACTGCTTTTTGCACCATTGTTGTTCCCAGGACATTACGACCCAGAAGAACCTCCAGGTAGACTGGTTTTCCTATTGTCAGATTTCTCAAATTCTTTATTTATTGTCATGTTGTTGTTGTGCAAGCAAACCTTTGTGTTTAACACAAGGTTACAGAACCAACAAAGTCATATTTTAAGCACTTTGGCACATTTGTGCACAGTTTTAGTACTATCATGCAATGCATCACATTTTCTGGCCTTCACTTGTCAAGCATCTAGATTTGTTCAATTTAAACTAAATTCTATATTAATGCATAATCCATGCCTTCTGACACAGCTTTTGCCCTGAAATGTCTTTGCCATAAAAACAGCATGTGTCTATATATGCTTGTTTCGCTACCTACCTACTGGCAATTTGAGAAAGACATACAAATGCTTTGCAATCTGTATCTTCATGCTTAACTTAATTACTACATGGGCAAAAAAAAAAACAAAAGCCAACAAAACAAAGTGCCTCCAAAAGTGGAGAGAGATGTGCCGTTTTAGGTAACCCTGTCATATGTCAGTCAAACAAAATGTTTCTCCCCCCCCCCATTTTATGATTTGATAACACAAAAAGTAAATAAAAAACTACTGCCATACCAAATTATAGGCCTCTATATAAATTATAATTGCTGCATACAGCAAGTTGACCTGTTTATTGACATTTAAAAATCTCAGAAAGGCATTTTGGGACAAACAATGTCACAGTGGCACAAGCAGATTATTGTGGCTGTGATCCTGTGACCAGTTAAGGGATTCCACACATAAATCAAGTACTGATCAATTCAGTATTTCTAGCTAGAACTAAAAATCAGGCAAAAACTTTGCCTTTTAAAAGCCTCTTTGTTCCTCATTTTAGAACTGCATAAAGGCAAAATTATATTCTGCTTAAAGAGTGGCTGATACTACATATTAGATGTTCCCTTTACTTGATTCTCTTACTCTTTTAGATGTGGTCTTTGCATTGGAACAAACCACATGTTAGATGTTGTTTTAATCACAATAGTGGAAGTTTTTTTTTATCATAAATCTGCATAGCGAAGTTTGTCCATTCCTTTCAGGAAAGATTGCATTGTCAGTTTAAGCCTTTGTGCTGAATGACCTTATAAACATAAGTCCTTCAAATATATCCACAGCACAATTATCTTAACTATTAGTTTGGGTATACATATAATATTTACTGAAGAAATTTAAGTTGATTAAGTTTTTTCTAATCATATTTGAAAACTGGCTTTTTAATAATTAACTAACCAATCTGACAATAGACATGGGTGGGTGAAAGTTTTTGTAGTGATAGTCTTTACATGTACACACTGCACCAGCAGAGGACATTACCACCACACCACCACTGTCATTACACTATAGTCAATAAATGTGGCAGAATGGAATCACAGTCCTGTACATGCACTACCCCCCCTAACCACCATCACTGTGCTTACTGAGCACAGGTTAACAACAGTGGAGTCAGTCAAACTGAATATCTAGCTTTTGTTTTCCATGGAGACTATTATTTCATTGAGTGATCCTAAATTATAGCATCAATTTCTTATTTGCATGGAATTAAATGAACTCGAGTAGTAATTTTTAAGGCATGCAGCAGCACTAGTTTGAAACTATTTTAGTTCATTCTATGATAAGTTTTTGATCGTGTTACAGTCATAAGCTGGAATGCCAACTGTAACTGATTTTTATATCTCTTTGGAATGCCTAAATTTGACCCATTTTTGTTGGAATGGAATTAATCAGCTTTGATTGCCTAATCTATTTGAATTATAATTCATAGATAATCATCAAATAGAATATTGTCACTTTATCATTGCAAAAACAAACCCTATAATTTGTTCCGCCATGTCTGCAACATTGCACAAGTACATAACATGGCGCTGACCCTTTGTAGATTTCCACTGTTGTTACTCTGTCCATCATTGCTGCGGTGCATGCAATACATGGATGTTTGTGTATTTTCTAATTTCAGAACGTCCATTGCTTCCTACAAAACCAGGTAAGAGAAGAGATTGTTGCCACCATCCTGACTGGCATTCATTTGTCAGTTTTTTTAAAGCACACTAACACTTCTATGACACTAGCAGTTGGTCACCACAGATTATGTACTAGTATTGGGCAGGGAGGGTTAGGGAGAGAAAGTGAGGGGAGACTGCAAATTTATTATTAAGATGAAGGCAAAATAATGCAATGCAAATCACACTGGTATACTAAGCCCACCAAAATGGATGCTTTGCCTTGATACTGCATGCAAGGTAAAAAAAGGGTCTAGTCACTTAATGGCATTGCTTCTTGGATAAATCTCTAAAAAAGCTGTAAGACAGCGCACTAGCTGGTGTTGAATTAATTCTGATGCTTTTAAGGTTTGTGATCAATTGAACACAAATCTTTATAAAGAGCAATTTTCTACAAGCTTTCCACAAATTTTCAAACAGGCAACTAAGGGCTTGGACCATGGAAATTTTTTTTTTGTCATGGAAGTGTAGTGTGGAAGAAATGGGGATACAAACAATTGCCCCTATGCTATTCATCAATCCATACAACCAGACAATATATTCTAATCCAACAACACATTGGCAAAGGTTTGGCAAGGGTATAATCTATAACAGCCTTTTGGCTAAAAATCAAAACTTTCTGGAAAATGGGAATATTGCAACCACCAAACAATCATACCCTTTTCAATCCCAGTTGCAACATAATACATTTTACGCGTCATCTCTTCTCTTGGGATTTTCCCCAGAAAAGAGAGGACTGATCAGCTTGAAATCACTTCACACATATAATAGCTTGGTGGGTTTACAGGAATATAAACATATTTTACAACACATTTTTGTTCTTGCATGGGTAGTCACTGTCCTGCATGGCAACATTATTATTATTATTATCATTATCATATAGATATCAAATACAGAGTACATGTATTTCCATGTTTTATGTGTCCATTTTGTTGCATGTGTGTAGTATCTGTGTGTCAGTAGAAAATATATATATTAACTTTTTGTGGAATATAAAAAGCACAAAGCTTAAATATGAAATGAATATATCAATTTGAAGTTTGCCCCAAAAAATATGAATGCTAATAACCGTCTTCCTAATGATTGGAAGCTGTGCCATAAGCTATGAATCAATAGGTACGAGAGCATTTTATGCCAAGCATGATCAAACTGAGCATGAGACATATATTTAAAATAAAATTTGACGGCATATAATAGTGACCCAGCTAGGCTTCTGAATCTTTAAGAAGGCATGCATAAACCCATATTAGTTGTGTATATAAGGGAACAATTTGCAGTGAATACAAAGCATGTAAACATACCCTTCCCCTCATGATATGAGCTGGTATACCAATAAGTCAAGGCATGTGCAACATATAGCCTTTTACCATTATAAGGCTACATGATTGAGCCAGGATCAAAAACTTCTAAATTCTTCAATAGTTGTTTCTCTTTCCTGTTTGTTAAGTTTTTTCCTCAGTAGCCTTGGTGCCTTGATCCCTTCCTTATCTCTTCACTTACTCTGAATGCTTGAGCTAAGCCAATTCTCAACTGAAATCACAGCAAATTGTGCTACTAACCCAGCATATAGAATAGTTTAAGCCTCCAAATCCATAAAATAATATACCATGATTGTGTAGTAAAAATGTAGTGATTGAAATACTGCATTATTCGTGGTGTTTTGTCTCTATATGTTCAGTGACAGTCCATCATGGCTTTTTGTTGTTTTAAGTTTATAAAGTAGTTAGAGGCTTCAATTTTTAATTTTTTTTACCAAATGAAATGGTAATATATATATATAAGTGAAAGCATAATAAGTAGGAAAGTTCAAAAAAGGGGTTCCACGCAAGACATAGCAGAATGGACTTTTTTTAGTCCAATGCATGTTGTGGCCTTAGCAGGCATTTTTCTTTTTCCAGTGGTCCTCTCTGGGACAGAATATGTAGAAAAAGGCAGCCGAATGAGACTGATTTGCAATGCTACTGGCACAGAAGAGCCTCCCACTGGTATAGAATGGTTTAAGAAAGGCAAGCGCTTGCAGACCAATATGAAAAAAGGCATAGAAATCAAACAATATGTTTATATGAAAACACTGATAAGCATATTAGCCATACATCAAACAGATATGGAAGATGCTGGGGACTACATCTGTAGGTCCAGTCATAGCAGCAAGGCCGTCAACAAAATCAGTGTGCATGTTTTAGATGGTGAGAGACGTTTTCTAAATAATAAAACACCCTTGTAATTTAAACAAAAATGGTACAGATGTACAAAACTCTGAGCAACGAAAACAAGAAATTGGAATCCTCAAAGAGATACGTAAAATCTCAAGGCCAGGCAAATCAAAATGCATTACAATCTGGGTGATTTCACCATTTCTTTTAAATATTTGCTGGAGGGAAAGGGTTCACGATTGCACATTTCTGCTCTTTATTTGGTAATTTTTTTGTGTGACTCAACACATTTGACATGAAAATTCACTCCTTTCACACATTTTTGATCTTAAAAGAAAACACTGAAATTTAATGAAATGTTATAGATGTGATATCATGTGTTATAAATTTCAATCTTCATTATCTTTAACATTTGCTTTTTTCTTTATTTTCATGCTGTTTGCATGGGCAGTATCTACAACGAATGTTAAACGTGGTAAGCTCCCAGAATTTCTTACAGAGCTGGGTCTGGTTTTGTGTGTATTGCAGCACAAGAAAACCAGGTCCAATATCAGAATTAACAAAGATGATTTGTAGTCTAGTGTCATACATATTATTGCCTTAAAGAGACTAATTAAGCTGGATCCTAAGAGTATCTGAAACATATCCAAATTCAAGGAATCACTGAGACAAGTGGAACCTACAAAGTCAAAAAATGTATATCAATCACTTTACTTCAACTCTGCACCTTCTTCCTTCACCATATACCTATACGTGCTTATGCATATAATTCTGAAAGAGGCTCACTCATAGGATCCAGACTAATCGACACACTTATATACTTACTTACAGGTACTAGTAGATGTATGCTTGCATTGCTTTAGCTTGGATCAGGTTGCTTGCATTTTTCTCCCTTAAGTAGTAGAAAATGCTGATGATCTTTCTCCTTCTTCTCTTTCTTTCTCCATCTCTCTTTACTCTTGAATCACTTCTGCATCTGTCATCAGTATTGTGCGATCGTATCTATGGCTTAAAAAAATTCAAATCACATATTATAAAACTGGCTGATTTTCTCAGGAAAGCTAACATTTTTGTCATTCTTTATATATAAACACTCACTTGCACTTTAACTTCATCTCAGCCAGTAATTTTTTATATAGATTGATATAACAGAAAAAAATTAAGTCTAACCACATTTCTAATAACTAGGTCCATTTGAATATGTTTGAAGCATTTAAAATTTCAGCAAAAAAGCTCTAAGATACCACATTAGGCACCTAGCTCTACTATAATTAGAATTTGAGTTTTCTGCTTTTATTAAATTTGGGATTTTCATCAGAAATAAAAACTGGTGAAAATACCATTTTGGTCCATACACCTGTTCAACGCTTCACTTCACAGTACACACCATGTCAGAAAAAAGGAAAAACAGCACTGTACATCACCAGTAACAACCTGCTCCATGTAGCTAATCATAATCATCACATTTGTGGACGCTGTTCTTTCTGTCTTGCTTTCTATCATCAGAACCAGGAGCCCAGCCTTGTGATCAGACAAATGCTGATGGCACTTGCAGCACTGGCATTCACCTGCAACCCCCAAACAACCTTGGCACCTCCAGTGAGTATGGCAACAGTATTCTGAGAGAAAAAATAGGGAAAACTTTATTGACTATTTCCTTTTCTCTCAACACTTTGGGCACTAAGTTTCTTTTCTTTTAATTATAACTACATACTCTAAGATAATATTTTGAAAATAAACCATTAGAGTTTTTCTGGATTTTTTTTTTTTTTTACTTACGATTCACTCTTTTACTATGAATAAAAATCAACCACTCAGTGCAAGACTTTTAATCAAATCTTTAGAATAAAATGTTCAAACCCATAACTTCAACCAATGTACTTTGATCACATTTGAAATTTAAAGTCCAAATCTTCTTTTACCATTATAATATTTAATATCATATTCTAGGTTCTCCTTCCCAAAAATATGCAGAAACATGCCACTCGCTGTTTGCTAGCTTTTAGTCATTGCTTTATGGTTTTATGTTATAAAGACACAAGCAATACTCAGAGTTATTATATATGTCAATGAATATGTGACCATAATAGCTAATCAAATCCACACTAAACTGAAAAGGCAGAATTATATCATGTTTACAACATATCAGACCCTTTTTCTCTTAATGGTCTAAACTGTTATCACTATCCAAGACTGTATTTTATAAGTAATGAAATTCCTTCCCTGTGATTCTGAAAAGCCTTCTTTTCAAACCATTGCACCATAACACCAAACATTACGCATGGGGACCAGACCTGAGGAATATGTTATAATTCTAGCTGTTAGATCTTCATACTAATCTTGCATGATGTTAGACACCAAACTATGGCCCAGTACTCAGGGATATATCTATACTTACATGTACTTGCAGAGTGGGTGATTTTTGTGCCCTGTCATACTCTAGACTTCATATATGGAAATCATCTGAGATCAACTGTCTTAAATTATATAGAATTTTAACTTAAAAACAATAATTGGTGGTTGTTGAATTTTTTACTGGTTTACAGAGATCCAAAGATGAAGTTTTCATGTACAATACTAATGATTTTTATTGAGGGAAAACCCTTTTCATTTGTGAGACATTTCATCCCTTGAAAGAAGGGTGGGAAAGGGACTGTATTTACAGAAAAAAAAGACTGCACAACAGAAAGCTACATCTTTGATTTGATTGCACAATTCCGACTTTCAATTTGTGCACAGAATTCTAATTCTAGCCTCACTATTTTTTAACAACCCACCAATCACTTGGCCAGGTCGAGTAGACAGTAAGTGGTAGAATGAATTCAAATTTAATCAGTAATTTGTAATGTTGGACTTTCTCTAAATTCCTTCCAGTTTGAAATCTCTCATTGATAAAAAGTGCACCCACGGATCTGTGCACAATGCTTGGCATTTTGCTGCTAGTGATACTTTTTCACAATATCTTGCACAAGCATTATATAACAAGAGATTGACACATTTTAATATTTAGTATAATATACCTATTGTAACTTAAACTTTAAACTTTAAATCTGGATAATATATTTATGGGAAATAATTTTGGAGTCATGTGAAAAATTTTGAACTAATTTCATTACATCCACTAATTTTAAGATATTCAAATGCATGCTTCTCTGTTTTATAGTAAAAACTTTCATAAAATGTACAGTTCATAATTTGAAAGACAGATCTTAAAACCAATGTTCCTATCATTATCTACAGTAATACTATTTGTTAGTAATTGTCTATATGTCAAACTATGTATTTTTTTCCTGAGTGGCATGCAAATCTGTCATTATTTTGTGTGTACACAAATATATATTTTACATATTACTGTGATATGCTGGAATAAACTCACAATGTATGCAAATGTAATAATTTCAGGCACTTTAACCAGAACAGACAATGTAAAGAGTGGGAAAATGGCATCCACAAGACTTTCATATGCATTATATCTATGTACACTTCTTCTGGTGTCTTTCCATCTTAATTCAAGACTTTAGCAGTTCTCACTGAATTAACTTGTACAAAGTACAAACTGAGAAAAAATGCTCTTGGATACCAAAATATGTGTCAGGTTGAAAAAGTTGTGTAGTCAATATTCTGTGTAACTGCTGGGCAGTTGGAATGCACATTCAAAGATGGAATCACATGGTGCACCAAGACATTGGACATCTTCACACAGAAGGACAAACAAGACTGCTGAACTACAAAGAATAAGCCAATAAGCCAAAGAAGTATGCATCTTCTCTTTGTGGTCTGTGAAATTGGTTTAACTATTTTCACAAAAAAGGGCAATTTGGAGCTCAACACTTGGCTGGTGCCTGTAAAATATGATGATGAAACTGTTATTAAATTTAATATATTTATTTGACAAACAATGAGATCACAAACACACTGGCTGATGTACATCAATAACCATGAGCTTAATCAATATAGCAGAACAAATGTGAGGATACCTCATCTTTAGAAACAATGCAATGGTTGTATCACTGTCTCTAATATACAATAACAGACAACAATACTGCTAAGTTACAATGAAAAATATGAACTGCCCTGGTCTATAATGTTTCATGCATCAATGTGAATCTTGTAAAAATACATTCACAACTTCAGTTTTAATTGATTTCTGAGGTTCAATACAGAAATCAGATAATACATAGGCATCTGATAACTGCATGTCAGAGTACCACATGGAAATGTTGAATTTATTCTTGGACTGTATAATCATCTAGTCAGATAGAGTTGACTGTACTTAATTGTCTAGAGTAAATCCAATAAGATGGTCTGTCAAACCAATCCAGACTGTGGTCAATTCAATCTTTCACCACATTTTTAATGAATAACAATACCTCAGAAATGATGACGTGTAAAGATATCATTCACATGAGTGATGAAGAATTATTGGTATATAATATATGTACATGCATAAATGCTACACAGTGGCGTAACTAGCATATTTATCATCTCACCTACGCCCATGAATCAACAAGGTTCAGGGCCAAAATGAAGAGAAGAAAGCTTTTTTACTTAAATGCCATAAAATACCAGACTGTTACAAGCTTTTATTTCTAAGACATTTTTCTTTAGTTTATAATTCTGTCATAGAAATGTATCCCACCTTAAAAGTGCTTACTGGACAGACTTATGCTATATTCAGAACTTGGAAAAAATGTAAATGAAGGTTGTAAATAATTTGAAGTGATGAGGAAAAAAGCACTAATAAAAGATTTTACTGTCATACCTGTTAAGGGCTTAATTGTATTCTATTTATTATTCATTGCTTGAAAATATCAACACTTCTTTATGCAGTTGTGTGATTGACTTGTATACTATTATTATGCACGTTGTATAGGTTACTTACAGAAGCAAAAATACATTCTTTATCTAATTAATTTGGACAGTTTGATTTTTGTATAATCAAGGACATGTTTAATGTAATTGATAGTAAAGTGGGTTTATCTAGTATCTTTTTATATTTTAGCTTGTAACTACTACATTTTTATTAATATCACTGTACAGTTCATGTTGTTGTGTATTTATTCCACTGCATTACTGGTGCATCTTTTTATGCAACTTCCTTCTTTTCAGTGGTTTTGAAAAACATTTTTCAGTTTTTTTTTGTTTGATGCAATATGTGATGCCAAAGCATAATAACAGTAATGTGTACATTTGTTGTAAACTTTTTTGTGTTATTTTGAAAAACCAATTACCATTACCTTTACAGTCAAATAGTATAGAGGATGTTTTGCTTTCAATTCAGTTTACATAGCAATGAACATCCTGTAGCCCAGGTTAAACCTAACTATTGTAAAACATTTACTTAAAAGTGTGCTTCAGCTTACTGACAGTTGAATTATTTTAGTTTGTCGCACACTTAAATGAGGTACTTTGTAAGTTTTTATTGCAAGTCAGCATAGATCTAGACTTTTACTGTCAATTTTATCATGTGGCAAGTGTTATGAAAAGTGTAATTTAATAAATATTAAAGACTGTTTGAAAATATGTTTGTCGTTGTTCTGAAAAAGGAAGTTAAAGTTATAAAAGGCTATCCTGCATAGTAATGTTTCTAAATTGCTTATCAGTTTTAATAAAAAAAATCTCTTTAATCAAGAAATGTGTGCCAATAAATAGTCTCCTTAACTTTCCAAGTTCTTTGCAGAAAAAGGGGGATATTAACTCCTATTCACCTCCAATCTCTCAAACAGCACTTTCTCCTTTTTTCCTTCTCGTCTTTGGCATGTCTGCAAAATGTCGTTCTTTCTAGAACTTTTATTCTTTGGAAATACACAAACTGTAATAATTTACTTAATTTACAAGTCCCCCATTTAGATTTGTCATTTTGCCTTTACAAAAGCAATGTACTTTTCAATAAATTTTTGTTCACAGAAATATTTGAACTTGTTACTACAAATGTGGTTCTTTGAACACTTGTCTCTCTACACCTCTCTAACCTTGCTCTAAATAAGACAATACCTTTTGAGACATAGTTTTGCATGCTCTAACAGAAAGAACCTGGTTTTAAAATTATTTGACTTCAAAATCAGTTTAGGTTAGTCATTAAAAGGCATTTCTATGTCTTCTTTGAAAGGGAAAGTATTTGAAAAAAAATTTAAGAGTTTAAAATTTTGTTAAGATTACAAACTAAGAGATACAGTCCATTAGAGGCAGCAGTAAATTTTTTAGATTTTCTCAAGAAACTAAATTTATCTTACTTACCTCTGGACAAGTGGTACTGAAAATAACATGTGGATGTTATCTATATCTGGATATTCACTAAACTGATGTCACTGTCACTGTTTGCATATGTGACTGAGTGGTCAAAACTTATGCCACGTCTTGACTTACCTGAAATATAAAAGAGATAAACTTTTTTATAAGTACATCTCTTAATAAAATGACAAATGGATGTAGCAGTATGAACAATAAATTGTCATTCGGTTAAAAATCAAATCAATCTTTAATTATAAACTATTTATTTCTAATCCAATTGTGGGACTGAGTAGAGATCAACAAAAAAAAAATGATGAGAAAATGGAAAAAATAGGGTGCATGAGAATACATTCCAGAAAGCCTTGTGGTTTGTTTAATTGTCTGCCTCCAGAATGAGAGGACGTGGGTTCAGCCACATCCAGGGACATACCAGTTCTTTATAAATGACACCTGCTGTCACCCCATTTGGCTATCAGCACTTACAGGTTGAGGCAGAGGTAAAGCTACCTGTCTGGCATTAAAAGATATTGATGATATGCCAGCTTTCAGCACCCCATATGTGTGTACAGCAGCTGAGCTATATCCTCCCCAGGGAGGTGAGAATGTCATTGGCCAGTAAGAATCAGGGGCAAGAAAATAAATATATATGTCAGCCATATTGTTAACCTGCAGAATAATGTTTAAAACCTTTCATAAAGAGGAGTAGTTTGCAGCATTTTGAGGTACTGAATAGTTGAAACACCACTCTGCAGGGCTCAGTAACTGTCTTTTCTTTTCTATTTGGAAGGGATGGAGGCTGTCATTTTGTTTTGGAAACATCACTGTAGTCCTTCAGTGTCCTCAGTGGATCTGTCTGTGTTTAGTATTGCATCATACCAGAAGGCTTGGCTGGCCCATGCACAATGCAATCTTTGCACTTCAAATGGCTGCCAGAATCAGATATTCTCGCTGCCTCCATGGAATTGAGAGACGAGTTCTAATACCGGCCTAAAATGTGTAAAGACAATATCCCATTATTATGAGTAAAATTGGGAACACTGTATAACATTATGACTAAAAAAAGTTCTTTTCTAATTCCCCTTTTGTTTATCTATTTATTTTTAGATCAGATATGCATTAATTTGTACACAATTTTTGAATGTCACTGTGCCAATGTTATCTGAACCTCATAATAATGACTATAATAATAATAATAATAATAATAATAATAATAATAATAATAATAATATTTTTGTTTAAAGGTGAGTTAAACAGTGAGCTTACTAATTGTTATCATTTTCTATTTTACCTTCACTAAAAATATACACTAAACAAAAATATCAATTCCCTATGTGAATTATTTATGTAACATGTAATGGGCTATGGCAGTAATCTGTGCCTACAGGCAGTTATCTGTAGCACAATGAACAACAAAATTTAATTTGTATGATCTAATGTATACTATATATAACCCAAAATGTTGGTAGAAATTTTCAGTACTGTGTGGGAGATTTATATTTTTTGCTATGTACGCGTAATTAACCCCTTGTAAACAATTCTTTAAAGGGGTCATGGAAATATTATTTCTTTCCAATTGAATACTCATTTATTTGTTTTAACTACATACGTTATACTTACAAACTAATGGGGACTGCAAAGCATCACAGACGCATTAAGAGCGTCAATTAATTTCAGGCCCTTGGTCTTGGAAATAGAGAGAATAATAATATTTATACCCCCCCCCCCCTCCAACCGAGAGAGAGAGAGAGAGAGAGAGTGACAGAGAGTGTGTGTATGTATGTGTGTGTGTGTTTGTATGTGTGTGTGTGTGTGTGTGAGAGAGAGAGAGAGAGAGAGAGAGAGAGAGAGAGAGAGAGAGAATTCCAGTGTGCTGTACTTTAACTTACTTATTAGTGCCTAATCAAATCATCCGCCATAGAGCACGTGGATTTATTTACATCTCGTAATCTATCGCGGATCTTTAACTTTTGGCAAAATAAAACTGTTAACTCTTTCTTGTCACCCAAAGAATTGGACAATGCAAATAAAAAAAACTATTAAATTTATATACGAGATTTTACTTCATGACGCCTTTTTACTAGATCTACATTGACTTAGAAAATTGGGTCATGTTGAATTCAAGATGGCGGCGCCCAGTGGAAGTAGCGTGGAAGACGTACTGAATAGAGTTTCTGCCCAAACGAAGCGTCTGGATAGTTTTCTCAGGTAGAATATATGTACAAAGTAGATTGGAATAATTTATTTTGGGAAGTTTTTATTATTTGTAATTATATTTGAGATTTAAAATGAAAAATGAAAGGCGTGTGCTGAGATGGTCACGATATGTGAAAAAAATACTAGTATCTATTAGTATCAGTACTATAATTATGTGTATTATGTATTACAGTATGACCCCTGATTTGTAGATGAGATCGAACCACTCATAACTACTTCTTGAAAATCAGTCATCATATTTATGTAAATTGTCTATAGGTGCCAAATTGGCAAATAGCAATCGGAAAAGAAAACGGGCCTTGAAGGCTTTTTTAATTAACTTGATTATATGGGTGAAGTCAAATATAAGATAATATTCATTTAGATTATTTGTAGAGAAATCAAAACAAAGTTTCTGCATATGCATAATGTCTCAGTGTTAACTGCTGTATTACTGTCTGACTGTAAANAACTAAAGATACGTAGCATTGCAATTCAGACCCCCCCTAAAACACACATTTTCATGAATATTTGACAAGGTCATTTTGACATTAATTTTTCATATTTCAAATTCAATAAAAATAATTTTTTTAAGTGGATCATAAAAGTGTAAGACCCCAACTTTAATTTGGCATCAATATTTTTCCATTCATTCACAATTTATTTTTCATGTACAAAAGTGGGCACTTTTACCCCCTTATTCGCACTCATCCTTTACTGCCACTGCTACCAATATTCATGAGTTCTAAAGGCAGTGACATGCTTTATTATACATTGTCATTTTTTGTTGTATATAGGCATTTGCTTACAGTAAAGATGTGTTTTTTTGGTCAACAAGCATTGCAGAGGTAATAATAGAATAGTATAGTTCTTGAGGGTTTAATTATAACTTACGACTTTTTTTTCAGCATTCAGAATGAAGTTGCTGATGAATTGCGCTCTTCCACCAAATTATTATATGACTACTCTAAATCTATTGAGACTTGTAAAACCGGTAGTGAATCACTTCCAGAACTGATTATTGACAATTTTGATGATGAACAAGTTTGGCAGGAATTGGAACTTCACAATGATTCAGCAGTCTCAGATTTATTGTCATGTGTTGCCAAGTCATTGGCCAGTAAAAGCAACTTATCATTTGCCATTCATAAAAATGAAGAAACAAGTAATAAACGCAACATTGGGAAACCACCCTATCAAAACAGAATTAAGAAAAGCTTTCCTATTGATGAAGAAGTTTCTTCTGAAGAAAATGATGGGGACATTGAACTTGATCAGTTTCAATCACAATCACACAGTGATGACAGTGATGCAGACTTGAAGCATGTTTTAGAAAAAGCTGGTGCTAATGTATACAGTAGAGATGATAGTGAAAGTGAAGGTGATGTTATGGAATATGAACATGAAGAAGATGGTGAGCAAGAAGAAAGACAAGAAGATACGGACTCTGATCCAGAAATAACCTTCCGTACACAGCCAAAATTAAAGAAAAGACAGCAACGTAATGACATTGGAAAAGCTAAAAGAATCAGGAAATCTGTAGTTGATGATAAATTCTTTAAACTGTCTGAGATGGAAGTATTTTTGGAGCAAGAAGATGCCAGGGAAGAGAGAAAGAGAAGACAGGAATCTGGACAGGGGGACCAACAGGAGGAGGAGGAAAAGGAGGATGACATAGATTTATTTGAAAACATTGAATCTGATGGAGAGGCGGTAAATTCACATGGATATTATAGATATATAAAAATGTCTCAGACTAACTAGTTCACTTTTTTACTACTGTTTTTCAATTAGTGATTTAAGTACGATGCCTTATGATTTTAATAATACTTCATTTATATACTTCAATAATACAGTTTGTATGTTTGCAACTTTTTTCTCACACTCAGGCCTACCCAACTACCAGGCACCAAATGATCCCTAATTCACCGGTCGATCGGACCACACTTCCCCTTTTTCAAGGTGTGCGTCTGTACGCATTTCACAGTATCATACCCCGAACAAATTTTGAGTGGTGATGAAATACTTTCCAACCCTGCTAAGAATCATCACTATCACATTGCCCACTAGGCAAGCCCGTGTCGTGTCTGATACTTCAAAGCGCGTACTGACGCACACCTTGAAAATGGGTAGACTAGTGTGGTCCAATCTACCGGTGAATTCAAGATCATTCGGTGCGGAGTCTGGTAGTTGGGTAGGCCTGACACTTTATGGCCAATCCTTAAAGCTTTTTTTTATTATTTTAGAGCGAAGGGGATATTATGTATGCTGATTTCTTTGATCAACCATCTAGCCAGGTGTCTAATAAACAGAACATCAGCATTGAGGAGGAGGATCAGATAGAGGAAGAAGAAGAGGATGTTGATAGTGGAGATTTAGACCAGTATGAAGTACTCTTTACCTAGTTACTAGTCCTTTTTTTCACCTATGCTCATTACTTTATCAGGGCTACTCCACTGAGGTGTAGATAAATTTACCAAAAAAACATTTCTGATGAAAATTACATTTCAAAGGTAATAGTCCACATTTGTCATACTTATTTATTGACAATACATGTAATGCTCCCCCCCCCCCTTTTCCATAAAGATAACCTCGTCTATTTTAACACAAAATAAAACTTTTAATGCTGTTCATATCACTATCTCTTTTTTAAAAGGGATGATGAAAATGTTGAAGGCACTGATGAAGAGAGAGAAATCCAAACAAGGGTTCAATCAGGCAGAGATTTGTTTGCTGCTAGTGATAGTAGTGAAGGTGAAGATATTGGTGATATATTTGGAGGAAAGAAAATACATGAAAAATCTTCCTTTGAGAAGAGGCAAGAAAAGGTAACATTTCTTGCAGTAAATTGCTTTTAATTTAAATCTTGAGATACCTAAGATGATAGTATTTAAAGTTGTTAAGACAACATTTGCGCTCCTAAAAGGCTATAGACTGTAACNGGAGCAAGAAGATGCCAGGGAAGAGAGAAAGAGAAGACAGGAATCTGGACAGGGGGACCAACAGGAGGAGGAGGAAAAGGAGGATGACATAGATTTATTTGAAAACATTGAATCTGATGGAGAGGCGGTAAATTCACATGGATATTATAGATATATAAAAATGTCTCAGACTAACTAGTTCACTTTTTTACTACTGTTTTTCAATTAGTGATTTAAGTACGATGCCTTATGATTTTAATAATACTTCATTTATATACTTCAATAATACAGTTTGTATGTTTGCAACTTTTTTCTCACACTCAGGCCTACCCAACTACCAGGCACCAAATGATCCCTAATTCACCGGTCGATCGGACCACACTTCCCCTTTTTCAAGGTGTGCGTCTGTACGCATTTCACAGTATCATACCCCGAACAAATTTTGAGTGGTGATGAAATACTTTCCAACCCTGCTAAGAATCATCACTATCACATTGCCCACTAGGCAAGCCCGTGTCGTGTCTGATACTTCAAAGCGCGTACTGACGCACACCTTGAAAATGGGTAGACTAGTGTGGTCCAATCTACCGGTGAATTCAAGATCATTCGGTGCGGAGTCTGGTAGTTGGGTAGGCCTGACACTTTATGGCCAATCCTTAAAGCTTTTTTTTATTATTTTAGAGCGAAGGGGATATTATGTATGCTGATTTCTTTGATCAACCATCTAGCCAGGTGTCTAATAAACAGAACATCAGCATTGAGGAGGAGGATCAGATAGAGGAAGAAGAAGAGGATGTTGATAGTGGAGATTTAGACCAGTATGAAGTACTCTTTACCTAGTTACTAGTCCTTTTTTTCACCTATGCTCATTACTTTATCAGGGCTACTCCACTGAGGTGTAGATAAATTTACCAAAAAAACATTTCTGATGAAAATTACATTTCAAAGGTAATAGTCCACATTTGTCATACTTATTTATTGACAATACATGTAATGCTCCCCCCCCCCCTTTTCCATAAAGATAACCTCGTCTATTTTAACACAAAATAAAACTTTTAATGCTGTTCATATCACTATCTCTTTTTTAAAAGGGATGATGAAAATGTTGAAGGCACTGATGAAGAGAGAGAAATCCAAACAAGGGTTCAATCAGGCAGAGATTTGTTTGCTGCTAGTGATAGTAGTGAAGGTGAAGATATTGGTGATATATTTGGAGGAAAGAAAATACATGAAAAATCTTCCTTTGAGAAGAGGCAAGAAAAGGTAACATTTCTTGCAGTAAATTGCTTTTAATTTAAATCTTGAGATACCTAAGATGATAGTATTTAAAGTTGTTAAGACAACATTTGTGCTCCTAAAAGGCTATAGACTGTAACTTTTCACTTTCTTAAATGTCTCAAACAATTCAGATTATGATGTGATGTTTCTATCAAGTCTTAAAATACCATGTTTCATTACATTAATGTTCACTGCAACAGTATGATCAATTTACTTTGAAGCATTGTGTGTTTAAATTATCCTACTCTAAATCATTTTTATTCTTTATCATGATAAGTAAATTACACAGATATTGTATTACCATTTTTTACAGTGTAAGTGTTTTGTTTAGAAATAGATGTCATTTTTTTCAGTTGAAGGAAAGAATTTCTGAGTTAGAAGAAACTGCTCTGGCACAGAAACCTTGGCAGTTGACTGGAGAAACCACAGCAACTGCCAGACCAGAAAACAGCTTGTTACAGGAAGATCTGGAGTTTGAACACACTACTAGGCTAGGTATTTAATTTATTCTTGTTGTTTGTGTGCTAAAAATCATTTTCTCTCAAAATTCTGTAATTGTTTTTCATCTTACTTTATCATAAGTAACTTCAAGTGTCACAACTTATTCCTAGCTATTAAATAGTTAAGCCGTTTTATCAATATCTAGACAATAAAAAATTGTTCATTTACTATTCTGATAGGACATGTAATTTTCAATTATTTTATACGTTTTCCTGTTTAGCACACATTTTGTTAATTACAGCTCCAGTCATAACGGAGGAAAAAACAGCCAGTTTAGAAAGTGTCATTAAACAAAGGATAAAAGATCAGGTGAGTGACAGCCAACAGAGCTTACCGGCTGCCAACTTAGATGTTCTTTATCTTGTATTTAATGAAAGATACTGTAGTGCATCATTCTGTTTTATCAGGGCACTTGGGAACTATGTAGCCAGTTCGCAATTTCTTTGTCTTAAGTAATTTTAACCATATAACGAGTTATCAATTTTGTTATTGAACAAATGTCAAATTTAGAATGTTTTACCCATTGCTAAGTATTTAAATGTAAGCAAATGTCATCAAACTAATATTCAACAAAAGTGAAGTTGTGAACTGTATTTAAAGAAGCATGTCAATTTTAGAATATTTTACCCATTGCTAAGTATTTAAATACATGTATATTTAAAAGTCATCAAACTGATATGCAATGGAAGTGAAATTTTCTAGTGTATTTAAAGAAGCATAAAATTACTTCAATTTTGGAAATGGTTAAATACTCATAAACATTGTGTTACATTTATGTATATTAATTATTTATCATTATCCTGGGTTGTTGTTTTTCCAGGCCTTTGATGATGTGGAGAGGAAAATCAAGCCTACAGAGGATGCATTCCAGTATAAAAAGAGGATAACACTTGATCAGGAAAAGAGTAAACAGAGTTTAGGAGAAATATATGAGCAGGAGTACTTAAAGCAAGTACAGGAGGTAGGTTGGGGGTTTTAGAAGAGCATGAGAGGGAAATGTGCAAGTTTGGTGCATTTTTCTATCATAATGTAGCGAAGAAGATCTTGGTAATGCACAGCAAATAAAACACAAGATTAAGTTGTTTAGTTTATAAATTTTATCTTTTTGGTCCAGGCGCTGTATTAAAATTACATAAGTTTAATTTTTGTGCAACAGCTTGATATTACTTTTTGGTGAATTTAGATTGCTTTGATTAAAGCAAATATAGTTTGTTGATTCCTCATGATGTGAAAAAATGTTTCTGCTCCTTTTTTCAGACAGAAGAAGATAAAACAGACCCTCAGCATGAAGACATTAAAAAAATGATGCAATCCTTATTTATCAAGTTAGATGCTCTTTCTAACTTTCATTATACACCCAAACCGGTAAGAATGTTAGACATTAGTGTTAAAAAAGAAGCAGCTGCTTTCTAGCTTTAAGCAAGATCCAGACATTAAAGGGACAACAACTATTCCTTTAAAAAAATGGATTTTTCTGTGGTAAAGAAAATTTTCCCATACTTGCCGGTAGTTAATGAATCTGTTCTGACAGTAAGTCCCCGTTTTTTTTTTTTTTTTTTTTTTTTTTTGTAATCATCTGTCTTTTGTAATCATGGCCATCTATAGAGGTCATGTGGTCCAATTGGCAAGTGCAAATTCCAAAATAATTGGGATAACTATGATTTTGGTCGCTAAAATAGAATTTATTATATTTCTTTGCGTTGTTCATTATGTTTTTACAGTGAAATATGGATCTCATACCACCACTTGTTGTGCCTTTAAGTCATAAGTTGTTTTATATATATATAATATGTATACATCATTCCTTAATATCTTTGTAAACAATAAATTGTCATTGTAAGTTGCATTGCAAGATGGTTTTAATTATAAAGTATAAAACTTAAGGTTAAAAAAGGGTTGAAATAATTACTAGTAGGTAAATTTTATGTCAATTTGTTACACTGCATTAGGCTGTCCCTGAAGTCAAGATTGTCAGTAATATGCCATCTATAGTAATGGAGGAAGTGGCCCCACTTAGTGCCAGCAGTGCTGCATTGTTGGCTCCAGAAGAGATACAGGTAAATAGCTTCTTAAACATATGTATGTTGGTAGTGTTTGAAACTGCAAAACTATAAGAAAAATACACTAATATTACATTTCTAAAAGTATTAAATTTGTATGTATTTGTTTTATGAAATAAATATTACAATCTTCAAATATAAATCGGTTCTTTTTAAAAATAAATTTTGTCTGAAAGTTTTCGCATACTTTAGAAACTTTGATTTTTGTTTAAACTCACAGGAGAAACCCAAGGGGGATGTAAAAGGGAAATCGGAAGCAACAGACACTGATAGAAAGCATGAAAGGAGATTAAAAAAGAAAGTTAAACGGTTGAAAGAGAAGGAAAAAAAGAAGAGACAAAAACTTATAGAGAAGTTAAAACCAGGCTTAAGCAACAAGCACAGTAAAAAGAAAGCACTGAAAGAGTTGGAAAAACAAGAAAAGAGCTCCAAAAACCTAACAGTTATACAGGTAAGGCAGTTTTATGGAAATTAAAATGTTTTAATACACCAAATAATTAAAATAAAATATAAATATTAAGACGTCAAAAATTTTTATAATACATCACTTCTTAAAGATGCATACAAAGTCAATTTTTTGTCACAAAAACCAACCAAATGCCAGCATATAGATTCAAGTAGTATAACTAAGAGTTTTACCAAAAGGCACTGTTTAATTTTACCCGAAAATGATGTCAGAACGATTTTTCTGCTGGCATTCTAAGCTGTATGTCAATGGGACAGGAAAGTAGGTCACGAAAGTAGGTTAAATTTACAACCAAAAATTTAAAGAAAGGAGCAGTCTAAAGGTCTTTTATGGCTGATCGAGTGATCTATTCACTTTATCCCTTGGCATGTCGAATTTATTTGAGTCATATAAGAATCTAGTAGAAGTGGTTTAAATGTGTTACTGGGAATCCATGCTCCACCGATGCTCGGTTCGTATGTACCTTTAATCAAACATTTTTGGGAACACAAGAATGTATCACAGCATATGATAGCCATTGCACAAGTCTTTTTTGCAATTGTTTGCATAAATATGTGAAATTTATACATCAACCATACTTATTTTATGTCTATACTACTTCTATTTCTACCTTTAGGAGGATAAATCAAGAAAGGCTGGACTGACATCATCTAAGGCCTTCTTCACACAACTCCAGGAAGAAGCTAAGACCCAAATACGCATCCACAAGACTTCTAGGAATGAGATGATAAAAGCAAAAGCAAATACTGCAGCTAAACTTATACTCTAAATCAATATTCAGCTCAGAGCACATTCTGTAACATTATTTTGATTTTACAGATTGGGAGGGGAGTGAATTAGAGTAGAGCTAGTGACAAAATTTAGGATGTATAAAGTTATTGTGTTGTGATTCATTTGCAACTTTTCTATGACATTTCTATGCCAAAATAAAATAAGCGTAGAAAAAATATGTTCTGCTATTGTTTTAATATAAATGGCATGTTTCCAATGTAGCAACCAACAAACAAAATTATTACTATTATGATAGAAACCGTTTTACAATGTTCTAGCAAAAAGTTAAATTGATATGTTCAAGTAAACATTCTGGAAAGTGGTAATTCTGTTTTTATGTACAGACACAGATGTGTCTGTACATATTGCCATCACCTGCGTCTGTCGTCGCCGTCGCCGATGGCGATGCCGATGCCGATGCCGTCGCCGTGCACTTTCCTTGTAAACACGATAAGTGGAAGGCAGTTTTACTTTTTGGCTTTATNTTATTTCCTGTTTTTTGTCTGTACATTTGACAGCTTTGCTGCCTTGTTTTAACATGCATTCTAAACAAATGTTTTAACTATATTCACTTTTCTCTTTGGAGAAATTTAAATCTGAATTCTGTTTTTATATATAAATTTGCATTTTAAACATCACTGAAAATTATAAATATTGTATATATTTGCCACTATTTTACACTTCTAAAAGAAAAAAATGAAGATTGGCCCCACCTATAATACAGAGCTGCTGAAAAAGAAACCTGTCGAATATCTCCAAGTTTGGGGTACACAAAACAAACCTAGGTCTTTACTATAATTATAAACATTTTTTTCAAATAGGTTATGAACCTATTGCAGATTAAGACCCCATTCCCAGAGATTAGATCGATCTACTTTAGATCGGCCCAACTCCCTGGGGGTTCACGCTAAATAGCTGTCAGCCGAGCGGGCACGAAAGTTAATTACCCCCTTACAGCTTGTAGTAGGCAGGACGGACATTTAAGTCGGATTATCTGACAGTAATCTAGTGAGACTCCCTGCGGGGATAGATCGATTTAAAAGCTCTGGGAATACGCCCTAAGTCTATTTGATGCAATAAAATACTCAAAAAGCTTTATTTTAATCCTGCCTCCCATTTCAAGGATTGTCATAATGTGGTGCAGGTACTGATAAGATCCTCTTTAAGATGGACAAGTTTGCTCTCATTTTCTGTACAGTCGGCATCAACATCAGCCATTTCCATACCATCTCCACTTTCTCTTGCTTGCAACTTGTCTTCTCCAAGTGGAACATCACTACTTTGATACAATTTTGCATCTTCTTCAGTGTTTTCTAATTGTTCTCCCTCAACCATTTCATCTGCTCTGTTACAGAAAAAATAAAGTTATAGGGCAACAAGTTCACAACAGTAAGTTGTTTACAAATTAAATGTAAGAAGCAATCTGAAATGGTTAAAGGAACTATTCTCAATGAAATGGAATACAGGATCACACAATGAAATTGAGATTACGACATTTCCACCTTACCCCAAGGTCTTCAGGTGTGAACATAAATGCGACAATTTCATACAGCTGGTATTTTGACATGTGCCTTGCAACAGTGCTTCTAATAAGCACCCTGTAATAAATAATTTTTCACTGATATTACATGATAACTTACCCAGCATCTTGTAAATAATTATTTGAAGTGTTGCAGTCCTCTTTCTGGCCTACCACTGGACTTAAAGTGTAAATGTTCTTATCTCCAACATGAATGTTGGAAGAGTTTACAATGTTAATATTGTAAACTTTAGGTGGCTGTGAGTGATGAGCAGCAGCAGCACCTGCTCCAATTTCTAATGGCTGACCATTCTGTTTACTGAACTCTTCAACATCTGCAACCCCTGCATTTCTATCCCTTCTCATCTCCTCTTGTTTTTGCTTTTTCCGTTTCTGTATCCATTGATGCTTCTTATTCTCCTGGTCCACTTCTCGCCTTATCTTCTTGTCTCTACATGCATCACATGTAAATAATGATTTGACTTGTCTTTTGTAGTATGGGTCATCTGGCACGAGACCTTTGAGACTACTCAAGCCATATGGAATGTACTGAAAATCATCTTTAGGTTTGGTGAAGACTGGAATAAAGCCCCAGCGTTTTGTTTCATCTTTGAGAGATTTTGTCAGGGCTTCATTTACGTGTGTTTCAAATATCTTGTCTGTTTGCTCTTCTTCACAGTTAGCAGTCATGTAGAACAGCATGTAAGTGCTTCGCTTAATTGCTTCCTCAGCACACTGCCACTCTGCTTGTATCCATGGGAACTCATTGTGGTCATCATATGTACATCCTCTTAATTTGAAGCCATTACTTTCTGCCAAAGTTTGCAGTTCCTCATGATATGCAAGTGCCTTTTCTCTATCCTTCTGACAGAAAAACAATACATAATCGTATTGTGGTGCTTTTAATTGTGCAGGGATTTCATATTCCTGTACAGATATGTCATCGATGTATGTTTGCTGTTCAACAGCATCTTGACTAGTGTCTCTAGCAGTATGCATTTCTCCACTAGCTCTGTGGTCTTGCTCCTGATCTAAATTTAAATATATGAACATGAAATAATAAGACTGGCAACCAATAAAATGTTTTGAAATAGATGTACTGTAAATGATATAACGATAATATTAGTTTTCACCTCGATTTCAGGCTCTACTGGTATACTTGATTCACATGAAGTTTATAAATAAAGTTACCAAAGTGTATGGATATACTTCTCTCAGGTAAAATATTACTTATAGAGTCTGATGAATGGTACTAGTACGATAAACGGTGAGGTTTGGAAAAAATATATATATATACGCTTGACTAAAGACATATTTCTGACAATGCATTGTTTAAAATTAAAACTGTAATTCAACCAAGGACCAGTAACCATGTACAGTACTAGACACACCTTCAAGGAAAAATTACTTATAGTACATTTTTCGACTAGTGACCGTAAAACTATGAGTAATCTTTGAATGCATTGATCGTTTTCATTAAAATTTACCCCCGATAAAATATGCAGCAAATATTCTTACCGATCCGACAAAATTGTTCTTCAAGACTCATTTTTCTTAGGCCAGCTATCCCAGGTATTGCCGTTACATCTCAGATATCAATAACTTAATTAATGCTTAAGTTAACTTTTCAGTCATCTGAGTTATATTTATAGGTTCTTGCGTGTTGTTTCGCAGACCAAAAGCAACAATAACGTTGTTTAACCAGGGTTTTTCCCACTGGGTTTTTCCACAAGAGGAAAAGGGAAATTTTTCTAATCTCCTGCTTGTGAAGAGTTTCAAACGCAATTTCGAGAGGTACGAAGAGAAGCAGCACTCATATCAATCGATTGAATCTGGGGGGGCGTCTCGATAGTCCGAAGGTTCATTGGTCCGAAGGTTCATTGGTCCGAAAAGTGGTAACATTTTCGTCGATTTTTTAATCAAGGGTTCATTGGTCCGTTACAGTGACGTCATATTTGCTCCGTAACACTAGTCCCGCGGCCATGCTGGAGGGAATGAACGACGGGGAATAGTAGCGGTAATATAGGTGAACCAAATAAAATAAAATAAACTTCATATCGCGATCAAGTACACCAAAGGGAAAAGGATATATACAAGCTGAAGCTTCAGGTGCTCAGCAGGATCGACCAATATGAACTCAAGACAGTCTAAAAACATGAAATCCTACCAAATGCTACTTATCCAACATCGTGTTGTCAGAAGATAGTTCAGTTATCTTGTACTTCATTTTTCTTGTTCATTGGGTAGTAACAGTTATAGTTTGAGAGAGTTTAATGTGTAATCAT